AGGCCAGCCTGGTCTACAAGAACTAGTTCTAGAACAGGCACCAAAGCTACAGAGAAACCCAGTCTCGAAAAAAACAAACAAACAAACAAAAAAAAAAACAAAAAAAAAAAAAAAGAAAGAAAAGGTAGAAAAAAATATAAGGTGGAGCAGGGTTGATGAAGACCCTGATGTCAGCCTCTCGGCTTCACATGTATGTGTGTATGCATGCATGTCTAAAACACATACATACATACACAGAGAACATACACAGGGAAAAGTGAGACGGTTAGTAAGACCACATGTCTGGGACCCGAGTATTTGCCAGGTGGAGGCAGGAGGATCAAGAGGACATGCTTACCTACATATTGAGTTGGAAGCCACCTGAGTCATTGGCATCCTGTTTCAAAAACCAAATCAAATTAAACAAAGAGTCAAAACGACAAAAAGAGAGACTTCGGTGAGGTTCCCACAGAGCGGATGGGGTTCCCTGAGTGGCTTTTTTTCCAGTGCACTGGCTGGGTGCTGTACGTAGAGGGGTTACATCGTGATGCCTAGGTGTGAGGAGAAGTCAAAGCGCAGAGGGATTGTCTGGGAGCCGAGTGATGACCACAACATCTCGTGTAACAACAACAAAAATTCAACCCAGGAGATACACAGAGGAAGGACACCAGTTTGGAGTGCCAGAGGGCCAGGGATTTCCGGGTGTTATCAGTTCTTCTTGCCCCCTTTCTTTAGTGAAGTCTCCCCCGGCCAGCACCACAGCCAGGGTCCTTGTGAAGAAGGGCGGATGGAACTTTTTGAAGTGCGCCTACATGGTGATGACCTTCCTCTTCGTGTCCTACAATAAAGGAGACTGGGTAAGGAGGCCGCATTGGGATGGACGCCTTTCAGTCTATGGAGGGAGGAGGGCGAAAGGAAGGAGGGGCGGGGAAGAAAGGATGAGGAGAGAAGGCACTGTGGGAGGAGGGAGTCTACACAGTGTAGCCAACTGCCTTGTCAGGCTATCTTTGTGGGACCACCAGCTCCCCAGGAACGACAGGAGACTTTATATCAATTATGAAAGCTTGGCCTTAGCTTAGGCTTGTTCCCAACTAGCTCTTACAACTTAAATGAACCTGTCTCTTTTAATCTACATTTTGCCACTTGGTTCGGTTACCTCTGTTCTGTACCACACGTCTGACTTCTTCAGGGCTTCTGGTAAAATCCCCGCACCTAGATTTCTTCTCCTTCTCCTCTAAAACTAGTATGCCTTCCCCAACAGAACCACTCTGCCCGCCTAGACATTAATAAGGAAAATTAATCTGAATAATTGCAATTCTTGGCAATTGTACAATTGCAAATGTACCGGCTCTGGCTAACACTCAGAGAGTTGCCAGCCATGAATGCAAGATTTTACTAACTTATATACACCTTAGGCATCTGCATTGTACCAGCCCAGGTTACAGTTTGAACCATTTTAAAAGACAGGAGACTGCAAGTCTAACCACTTGGGCAGATGGGAGATTTACACAGCCAGGTATCCCAGAATTATCTACGTATATTAGTATTGATTTCTAAAGTTGTCACCCAGGATCATCTTGCCCATCTAGCAGAATTATGTTTTTACTGATAAGAGCACCAGGAACTTAATGGTAGACCAAGACTAATGCGGTAGGTTTTGACCCTGCGCTGCCCCCAGAGCTGTCCCTAAGAGACACTTTCTTTGATAGGGACTGGTTGTAAGCCTGGGTTTCTCCATTTGTTATGGAAATGAACCTAGTTGGAGGTCAATCGGTGAATAAACCTTAGCAGAACTCTCGCAAGGACCCCAAACTTTAATTAAGGTACCAGGTTTTCATTCTGTCCCAGCCTGGTGAGCACCCCACCCTTCCCCAGCCACACTGTGAGCACCCCACCCTTCCCCAGCCACACTGGTGAGCACCCCACCCTTCCCCAGCCACACTGTGAGCACCCCACCCTTCCCCAGCCACATTGGTGAGCACCCCACTCATCCCCAGCCTCAATGGAGGCTGTGCTCGTCAGCAGAATCCCACGTTGTGTGACCCAATGTGCCCTCAGCCGGTCCAGCGTCAGGTTTACTCTCCCAGGTGCCCGCGTCAGTGCTACCTTCAGTCTCAGACTGAACTCCGACGGTTGGGCGAGCCACAAGCTGCTTCTCTCATTGAGCCACCCCTCCCTAGCTCCCTAGCTGGGACAAGAACCCTGCCACTAGGAGCTGCTTCCTGTGACATGTGAAGTGCCAACTGTGTTCTCTGTTCTCTCTCTCTCTCTCTC